TACCATTATGGATTTTCACATTTGTCCCCTTCCCTTACCTAGGGAATCATTGAACTAGGGAATTATTCCCTTTTCCTTATCTAGTAATCTCATAATCTAGAATCTTAGGTTATCTTAGTTTACTATTACCCTATCTCTTCGACCTCTACTCTTTCATCTGCCTCGATCGCATTGCTTTCCTCTTTCCTCTGTCTTACTATTTTTTCAAAAATCCAGTATACATATATTTTTGGACGTTTTCTATAATATATTACTGTAAGTCATAAAATGCATAAAATCCACAGTCCAGGTATGCAAATCGAATAATTATTTTCTTTATCTTTCTTTCCGTCTCAATCTCTTCTCTACTAGCGTATATACCGGTGAAACACGCATTATACCGACCACAGAGGAAGAATCTAGAAGTTCGAGATGTGGAACGAACCGGTTTCCGTTCAACGAGGACGAATAACGTAGAATGTATAGTAGGACTGTTCCTAGTGGACTGTAGCACATCATCGACCACGGAAATGCATACCGATTCATTGTTTAAATAAATATGTAAATAAATGAATGTAATATTGATCAATAAATTGTTATTGTAATATTGATAAATAAATGTGTATCTGTTATTGCGTTTTATATACACTAGTACTATATTAATACTATATGTACATCGGGGTGGTCCTTATTTTATTAAATTTTGAAATCTATTTAAAAGAAACACGTGTCACAAACCTTCGAAAGTATTAATACATATATGGAATTTCTTCGATCGGTTACTTTTATTTTTATAACTCCGGTAAAAACTGACGAAATGATTTGAAATTTGGTAGTTATTATTTGCTAGTTGCATTTATTTTATTCCTTATTTTTTCGCCCTAAACTTTTCCCATACTTTATATTTTTGTTCGTCAATCCTAACCTAACTATGAAAAACGAGAACGAACCGGCCAGGATTCGAACCTGGGTCATCAGCGTAATAGTCGGCGACCCTACGCACTGCTCCACTATCCGCTCCTTGTTCCTATTTAAGTGCATGAGACTATATGGGATATACATATATATATATATTACAAAATATTTCAAATGAGAAAATTAAAAAATAGTATTAAAATTGTTCAAGAAGAGAATTGAATCCCTCTTTAAATTTATACCTACACTATTTTTATCTAATTTCAAAGAGAACACTGTACAAATAATATTGGTAAAATAAAATACATAAAATAAATAAAAATTGTAACAGATGTAACGTTACTGTAAGAGACCTAAGACTTTTGCACATTACTGCACACCATCGAGTTTAGTATCTAATAAAGATTCTAGTAAATATTCGTGCTGACGTTTCGATACAGATTCCACTATTACTATCGCAACCGGTCGAACCGCTAATTTCATTATTACCTCTAATCTGGAATCGTATCGTCAAACCAAACGATACTAATAATAAAACTGAGTAAGTGATATTTGTTTCTAACGACGTTAATTGAAAATTGCTACGCGCGGAGTTGTAAAGTTATGTAATTAACTTTAAAACCGATCTGAGCGTGTTGTATTAAATTAAAGAGATGCATGATACGAGAAAAAATTAATTTTTCGTGTATAAGAATTAATACACGTTTATGATAATCAGTTGGAAAGATAAATAAATAAAGATAAATAAAATTCTTTTGTTAACATGATACGCTTTTTTATTCGCATATATTATTTATATGTAAGAATGCAGTTCTATGTACGCGTTTTATTATTTATACGCATACGTTTGTATATATATATATTATAATTATTATTTAGAGATACAATCAGTCCCATAAATATTCGTAACATCTTTGTCTATTGAAGGTCTAAAGTCAATGATAGGTTTTCAATGTTTCCAAATAAATTTTTCGTTATAAATATTCGATATAAATATAATGAAATAATATAAGAAAACAATACATATGAATATAATAATAGTGAGTCACATAAGTATTCGTACCCTCTATTAAAGACATTTGTTTTAAATGAATGATAGATTTAATGTTAATTACCCAAGGGGTATACGCCCCCCCAGTTGTGGGGATGGTTTCAGTGCATTTGTGGTAGAGATATATGTGCATTTATGGAGACTTTACTGTATAAACACCAGTGGTTGGGGATGGTTTCAGTGCATTTATCGTGAAGATATTTGTGCATTTATGGAGACTTTACTGTATAAACACCAGTGGTGGGAGATGGTTCCAGTGCATTTATCGTGAAGATATTTGTGCATTTATGGAGACTTTACTGTATAAACACCAGTGCTGGGGGATGGTTTCAATGCATTTATCGTGGAGATATTTGTGCATTTATGGAGACTTTACCGTATAAACACCAGTGGTTGGGGATGGTTTCTGTGCAGTTACGGAAACATTACTGTAACTACTTGATAACTACTTGTTGCAATATGTGCATATTTCTTTGTATGAACACTTTTGTCCCAAATTAAAATAATTACAAATATTTCACTCTACTGTAATTCTACCAATATTACTAAGAATGATTTTTTTCTGATTAAACCATGAACGAGTGTTTCTCTTTGATGTAAGTAAAAGATCTTACTTGATCTGAACTCGATGGAAGTTCGAAAGAGACCGAGAGAGTCCCCGTAGCACAAGCTGTATAAGTTATTTCAAATACGTACGTTTCTCGAGAAACACCTCTTATATGGCACTAATCAATATCGTTCTCGATTTTAGCACACGTACAGTGAGGATAAACACTCTTATCGTCTGTTTGCAATTAGTATCGAAAAGGACAGCTCTACTCACATTCGGTTTGCAATCATAGAGATATTATAAATAGAGTAGGGAATATACAGGGTGGACCATTTTAAATTCACCAGTAGAATTAAGTTTAAATTTTCCTTCTGCAACTGTGAAAGTATGATTCTGCAAAAACATCATCAGGATATTTATAATAGATTTTTGTACAAATTTCGAGGCATCCTTATACAGGGAGGACCATTTTAAATGCATCTTAAATTCCCCAGTAGAATTTCTCGGAAACTATAGGAGTTAGCGAAAAATGTTTCGAACAAAAGGTGTTCCATTTTGAAGGTGAAATATTCTCGTGACTTTGTCTTTGACAAGATCGAAATGATTTTGAATATTACATTACATTATCGTTTATTGTCGTTCAATGTCGTTAAATGTCATTTAGTATCATTTATTGTCATTCAATGTCATTTATTATAATTCAATGTCGTCTACTGTTGTTCATTGTTGTTCACTTTTGTTTAATGTTGTTCTGTATGTTGTCATCCTGTATATAGAGGGTGTCCTAAAATGTTATAACACCTTGAAAGAGGTGATGCAGGAGGTGATTTGAAACAACTCTTTCCATAACGAAAATGTTGTCCGAGGCTTCGTTAAGGAGATATTAAGGAAAAACGTCGACCAATCAGAGCGCGAGTACGCCGGTGGAGCGGCCGCGGTAGCGTACGCTACGCGCTAGGTGGTAGCGCTCCCCGACCAATTAGAGCGCGAGTACACCGGTGTAGCGGCCGCAGTAGCGTATGAGCGCGGCCGCTCCAACGGTATACGCGCGCTCTGATTGGTCGAGCGTTTTCTGTTAATATCTCCTCAACGAAGCCTCGTACAACATTTTCGCTAAGGAAAAAGTTGTTCCAAATCACCTTCACTCTGTATATACAGGGTGTCCCAAAAACGTTGTAACACCTTGAAAGGGGTGGTTCGGGAGGTGATTTAAAACAACTTTTTCCTTAACGAAAATGTTGTCCGAGGCTACGTTAAGGAGATATTAAGGAAAAACGTCGACCAATCAGAGCGCGAGGATGCCAGTGGATCGCCCGCAGTAGCCAATGAGTGCGGCCGCCTAGCCTACGCTCCACCGTCCTCCTCGCGCTCTGATTGGTCGGGCTCTTTCGTTAATATCTCCTTAACGAAGCATCGGACAACAATTTCGTTAAGGAAAAAGTTGTTTCAAATTATCTCTTTACCTTACACCCTGTAGATCTTTCAGTAAGTGGAAATGTTTCTATTATTACGCTTTTTCCATTTATGATATGTAAATATTTTGAGACGATTTATATTATATGTATATATGATTTATATTATAATATGTATATTTAAATAAAGATATGTAAATATTTTGTGATGATGTACTGATTTGTTAACAATATATATACGAAATCTTTAATTTTGTATTTTGATGTGCTTTTAAACAAATACTAAAACTATATTTTTTCATATATACATGTATATGTATATATATATTTAGCCAAACGATTATTCAAAGAGAATACATAATATCAAAATGTCCAGTATATCGTTACTTATATTTTCTTAAAGATTAATTTTAATGACCAAACGATTATTCAAAGAGAATACCTATATATATATATATATATATATATACATACATATGAAAAAATATAGTTTTAGTATTTATTTAAAAGCACCCCAAAATATAAAATTAAAGATTGTACAAAAATCTATAAATTTGCATTTATTATAGTTACAAAAATTACACATTCCATTTCTCATCAAAACTACATAGTTTAAGAATCCTATGATCTAACATTTAAACGCAACGATATCTATATGAAATTAAAATTACTCATTTTCTTCCAAAAGTGGCATACACCACTTCAAAAAAAGAAAGAAAGAAAGAAACATCCTATACTTCTACATTAGCACACTAGTTAAATAATAAACCCCAGTTTCCACTTACCCTAGTTTCTACTTTTCCTAGTTTCCACTTTGAAGTGGATCGCGCCTATACCACGATAGAACCGTTCAAACCAGTGATCGTCATAACCCTTGGTTTCGAATAAATCTGAAGTTTGCCGCTATGTTTATTTCGTTTCCTCTTTTCAACATTTTCCAGACAAAGAAACGAGACAAACACATGGGCAAACTTCAGATTTATCCGAAGCCTAGGGTTTTACCCATCTCTGGTTCAAAATCCTCATCTAGAACCATCTACAACTAAACACTATATGAAACATGTACCGCAGAGAATAAGCGTACGTTACTCACATGGTGTCCCTGGGAAGGGTTTTGAAGGCGACGTAGAACCATCGGAAACGACCTCCGGATACCAAATACGCGACGAGAACGACCACGAGCAGCTGCACGAGGGAAACGAGGCCCCCGTACATGGCGATCAGAGCCAAAACGGCGATCGTGCACGCCAACAGTGTCATGACGAGCGCCAAGCGGCGAAGCAAGCGGCCGACTGCCTTCCACCGGCTGGGTTCGCTCGTTTCCGTTCTTGTTCCCGTTCGCGTCCTCGTCTTCGCCGTTGTCGTCACCTCCGTCCCCGCTCCTGCACACAAGACAACGGTTACGCGCGCCGTATCCCGTCTACAGGGTATCCCAACAATGTTGTAACACGTTGAAAGTGATGAGGGGTGATGGGTTCGGGAGGTGATTTGAAACAACTTTTTCCTTAGCGAAAATGTTGTACGAGGCTTCGTTAAGGAAATATTAAGGGAAAACGCCAACCAATCAGAGCGCGCGTATACCGTAATACTCGTGCTCTGATTCGTCAGTGTTTTTCGTTATTATCTCCTAAACGAAGCCTCGTACAACATTTTCGCTAAGGAAAAAGTTGTTTCAAATCACCTTCCGAATCACCACTTTTAAGGTGTTACAACATTGTTGGGGCACCCTGTACATACAGAGTGGAGGTGATTTGAAACAACTTTTTCCTTAGCGAAAATGTTCTCCGAGGCTTCGTTTAGGAGATATTAACGGAAAACACTGACCAATCAGAGCGCGAGTATGCCGGTGGAGCGACCAATCAGAACGCGCGTATACCGTATACTCGCGCTCTGATTGGTCAAGCTTCTCTCTCAATATCTCCTTAACGAAGCCTCGTACAACATTTTCGCTAAGGAAGAAGTTGTTTCATATCAACTCCCGAACCCATCACCTCTGACCGCTTTCAACGTGTTACAACATTTTTGGGACACCCTGTATTCGTCCTTCCGAACGTTCGCCGTGTTTACCTATTATCGGTTCATTGTTCGTGGCCGCTTCCAGTTCCACCTCTACGCTCACTGTGTTCGGTTTGTTTCTTGGTTTATCCTCGAGCTCGACCCTGCTCTCGGCCGACGTCGACGTCCGCGACGAAGACGTCGGCCGCGAACAGATCGACGATGGGAGGCCTACCGCGTCGGAACGGTGTTCACCCTTTTCTACGTCCTGCAACAAACAAGCGAGCCACTGACCTCAAAGGATCCCGGGATTGGCAGGAGTGAGCATCTACGGCTCAGGGCCGTATTTTCTTAGTTTGTTCTTCGCTAACTCTAATTTCACTTTCCTGATCCTGATATAAGATCCAGATATAAAGAAATTGCCTGAATTTATTTAAAGATTAATTTGAAAGTTTTATAGGCCAAACGATTATTCAAACAGAATACCTAATATCAATGCTAATAAAACTTTAAAATTAAACCTTAAAATTAATCTTGAAGAAAATATAAGTAACAATATACTGAATATAGTCTATTCATGAATTCTTGAATTCCTATTCATGAATCCATATTCTAAATATAATCTATTCTCAGTATATTGTAACCTACATTTTCTTAAAGATTAATTTTAAGGTTTAATTTTAAAGTCTTATTAGCCAAACGATTACTCAAAGAGAATACATAATATCAAAATGTTCAGTGTATTCTAACTTACATTTTCTTAAAATTAATCTTTAAGAAAATATAAGTAACAATATACTGAATATAGTCTATTCATGAATTCCTATTCATGAATCCATATTGTGAATATAGTCTATTCTCTATTAGTCTATTTGAAAGTTTTATTACCCAACGATTATTCAAAGAGAATAATGTTTAGTATGTTATTACTTATATTTTCTTAAAAATAGAATACTTTTTAAAACAATCTCTTGCCAAATGTATATCGGGCCTCCAAGCATGAAAAGCCCAATGCTAACATAGTAATCGAATACCACATGAAACTTATCTCTCCAAACATTCCAAGTTGTTTAACGGGATCAGTTGTATGTGATTATGTCTGAACATTCGATAGGGAACGCTAATATTGTGATATGAAATGTAGAATACTAAGTTTTTATGTACATACAATGATACAATATGTTCATACTTTGGGAACACGATTTGAATAAAACTGTGTCCCACTAATTTGTTTTATTGACTGTACGAAGTGTCATGTCAGAGGTGACTTGAGAGCACTGAGGGTTAAATAAGTGGTCAAAAGTGTCAAGTAAGTTCAAATGTCAAGTATATTTTACAGAGGCTTATATCGTATACTTGTAAATTATTAAAGTAAAGATAAAATTTTTCTCTCCCTGATTATTAATATAATGTAATTTAGATTCTCTTCCCAGCGTGATTATTAACGTAATCAACAATATATGCACGATAAGATGATTTAATATTGTGAGAAAAAGGTTGAATAATCGTGTTTAGAACGTTTTTATCATTTCATAAGTGGTGTAGATAGTAAGAATTTGAGACGCGTTCCCAGTAATGTAGCAAATCTAATCTCGCTATCATTTTTTACCTAACCTAACGACTATCAACAAGTCGTCGAGAGGAACTTCATAATTTTAATTTAATTCTTAGTTTTATTTTAGTAAATTAACTATTATTTTATTTAACTAAATTTTATGTACAATAGTTTAGGATTGAATAAGATTTTCAATTAAATTGTGTTGCGCTTCAAACAGATGGTACAGTAAAGTTTCTATAAATGCACAAATATCTCTACCATAAATCCACTGAAACTGGTCTCAGTGCATTTATGGTAGAGATATTTGTGCATTTATGGTAGAGATATTTGTGCATTTATGGAGACTCCAATAAGTATATCGCTACCGAAACCGGTTTCAGTGCATTTATGGTAGAGATATGCCCCTTAGGGGGTCAAGCCGTTCTATCGCCAAGCAGTGTTTACATAGAGAAGTGAAGGGCAGCGAATAAAGAAGAGGATGGAGCGAAAACACTAGGGTATGTCAGTGAAACAATTTAATGCAAAGATAGAACTTTCTTTTTATTAACTTTTTCGTTATAAAATTTTTAAAATCATATTTCTGACATTTATCTGATTAAAATGAGACCAAACACGATATAATTCGGACGATATTTACTTGTAACAACTTATGATGTATTATAATGTATTATGATGTACAGAATGTCCCAAAAATATTGGAGTTACTTTTCTGTTTTATGTTTATTGGAGTTCCTTGAAAGAGGTGATTCAATTACTTCTGATTGTTTAACATTTAATCGATAACATAGGTACCAATTATTTAATTCTCTACAATTCTACAGGGTGTCCCATTCAAGGTCGGAGGACTTTGAATGGGGTGGTTCGGGAGGTGATTTGCACGCAAGGTATTTTATTTAAAAATGAACAAAAAAAAACCAGGAATACATTTAGTCAATCTTATTCAATAATTGACACCGGTTATATACTAGACGTAGAAATTAATTCTGTGCTTTTATTAAACATTCAATTATTTATATTATATGTAGAAATTGTTATTGTACCTTCATATTCAATCGTTTCTAACTCTAGTTTAGATAGAAATATTTATTCGTCGTTGTGTTATTATACACGGTGTCTCAAAAATGTCGGAGGTCCTTGAAAGAGGCGGTTATTTTCAGCTTTCTACCGGCAGGAAGAGAAACATAATTTTCTTTGATTTTAATTTTTGAAATTCCGAAAATGTTGAAAGTCGTTGAAAGAGATGGTTCGGGAGGTGATTTGAAGCAACTTTTTCCTTAACGAAAATGTTGTGCGAGGCTTCGTTGAGGAGATATTAACGGAAAACCCCGGACCAATCAGAGCGCGAGTACACCGGCGGATCGCGCGCTAGGGACCGCCCTCCACCGCCATATTCGCGCTCTGATTGGTCCGGGGTTTTCCGTTAATATCTCCTCAACGAAACCTCGCACAACATTTTCGCTAAGGAAAAAGTTGCTTCAAATCACCTCCCGAACCTCCTCTTTCAAGGACCTCCAACATTTTTGGGACACCCTGTAGAATTGTAGATAATTAAATAATTGGTACCTATGTTATCGATTAAATATTAAACAATCGGAAGTAATTGAATCATCTCTTTCAAGGAACTCCAATATTTTTAGGACACCCTGTATATCGTGGAACACTAACTAAAAAAAGATCCATAGTAAATATCACCCAAATTATATCGTGTTTGGACTCATTTTAATCAGAAAAATGTCAGGAATACGATACCAAAAATTTTAGAACAACAAAGTTAATAATAAGAAAGTTTCACCGTTGCATTAAATGGCTAAACATATACTATATCTCCAACCATAAATACTAGTTTTCCCGTAATTTGGGCTCCGCTCTCTACGTTGTCCTTCAAATTCATGCAACAAACATGAGTTACGTGAGACATTCGCAGTATCGTGTAACACAGAGTATCCAATGCAAAGTTATATTGCATCAAGCGACCGAGAGGGCTTGTCTAAATCCGGATTCAAGTATTTCTCGACGTTTTGTTGCGCTCCCGAGTCGCCGTGCTACTTTCATGACTGGTTACTGCTTCTGATCGGATCAGAGATGAGCAGAATTCTTACAGAGATACCGAATAACCAATAAAAGATAACCACTTTTATATTCAATAATCGTTTGTTGAATATAATTTGAAATACAAATTTCCAGGTCAAACTTTTCAAGTCAAAAACTACAAGGCTACTGCTTTAACAAACAAACAAAAAATGGGTCTAAGTCTACACCCAATAATACATGTAAACATTAAAAGTCTTTGAAAATTAATTCTATGAAAAAGTTTTCATTCAATTCCTTATTTTATAAGAGACTAATTTATAGTGTCAATTCGCAAAATCGAAGTATCTTAAATATAGCTATACATATCAGCTAGCATTTCTATACTTTCTACTTTCTCCTCGAGTTTCTCTTGAGAGATGCACAATATTCGAGACTAATCTAATTTCAAGTGTAATTGCTATGTTTCATTAACAAATTTTATTTTATAAAATCTTTTTTCTCTTTCGATTTCTTTTCTCCTTTTTATCCTTAATAGTTTCCTAAATTGCATTTTGCAGCTTTTTGCACATTCAAATTTCCTATAAATGCATAAAGATCCGCAGTCTACTCATTATAATAGAATGTAATTTTATGAAATTGTTTCTTCAAGTAATTGTGTATCTTCATCATAGTCAACGAATGACCTCTTATTTCTTTTTACTGTCTTAATTCTGTTTTATCATCAATTCAAATGCTTCTTCCTAAATTTTTCCAACTCTAACTTTTATTATTTGTATGATATTAACTTTCACAAATATTATGTAAGTTTACTCTTTTCAATATGTATTTTATTAGAATACTTGCTAAGTAAAACATAATTCTGTTTTAAAATATTATACATCATATATATTATATGTTTAAGCCCTTTCCGAACAGATTTTTATAATTTATAACTAGACTGCGGATCTTTATGCATTTATAGGAAATTTGAATGTGCAAGAAACTACAAATTGCAAACAATATGCAAGAATATAAAAAACATTGAAAGTAAAGATCGTGTTATAATATTTAGAGAAGAAAATAAATTGCTATTTAGGTTCAATTTTTGTAGGTGTGTTCGCTAAGATTTTATTTAACATAAAGATTTGCAGTCTTTGTATAAGATATATCAAAGGATAATATTTGACATTATATACATTTTATGTTTTCTTCATGTAATTTATTATCAAGTTCAAAATGTGTCATTAGTTTAATGAACAAGACTATCATATTCATCACTTTATTTCTGTATTTTATTTTATGTTCTTTAGGAGAGACAGTGGGTAGCAAAAAGCAGCGATGAAGGTCTTAGAAGATAAAGGAGAAGAAGAGGTATGGATGAAGGAAGTGGAAGAAATGAGAAAAAGGATGAATAGTGAAAACGGTGGTCCAAAAGAGAATGTATATGGGGAATGTATGAGGCATGAGTAAATGGAGGTGGTCAGTCTCTCTCTCTTTCTCTCTCGTGTCTTGATTTAGAAACGTAAGTATAAGTGTAAGAAAAGGGCCTACGATAATGTGATATTTCGTCAGCGGAGCGGAGATCCTTGTACCAATTTATTTAATTATTATAATTATCATACAAATTAAATCCTTTTTACAACTTGATAATTTCATTCTCAAACAGAATGAAATATTACCAACATGGTGAGTTAGTTATCTTTTAGTTGCATATTGTTTTTAATCATTTTATTCTGTTAATATTTTATTCTATTAATATTCTCAAATAATTTCAGTATAGAATTGGAATCCTTACTCACCCCAAAAAGATACACATTTCTTTGATTAACGAATTGGTACGAGGCTAGAACACATTTTTGTAGGATTCGCTTTAGTCGCGTAGCTGCTCTACACAGTGACCATGCATCAAGTATTCTTCCTCGACTCCTAAAATACTAGGATTCTCACTGAACCACCCGAAACAAATACTTATTTCGCAATATAAAAATATATATGTAGTTTATAAAAACACAGGATCGTAGTATTTTGCTGTCGACTCCCTAATAGCGAGACTTGATCAATAAATCCAAATAAATGTACATTAGCGCTATCGCGTGGCAGAGTTCGGAAACTCCTCGATACTACAAGCAATGGTCGACAATTGGTACATAACAAAATATGTATTTGAATTTTTGCAAAAATAAAATTCATAAGAACTTTTTTCCACTTTTATCCAAAAATGGTTTTAAGGAAATACATCTTGAAATAATTCTGATTATTAATATTTTTGTTAATATTTCTGAAACTATAAGAGATATTTACAAAATTTTTAAATATTATACAATACAAAATTTGTTACATTCTGAACTTACGAGGAAAAAGAAGGAAAAATTAAATACAAATGGTTTTGGACCTTTTACAACACTGTAATAAGAAATTAAAGAGAAATTTATTTTCAATAACACTTCCACCATCATAAATTTGTCCACCATGTGCAAGTTTCATGCAATATAAATCTACCTACAATCTTAATAATTTTAGTTAGAATAACATAAATTCCAAACTTATAAGTAACTTACAGATAATATTCTCACTGTACGTACATCATCTATAATGATCCAAGAAGCTTTTTTATACGTCAACAATAACATGAGTATTCTAGAATTCAACAAACAATTAAATTAGATTAAATTATGAATACAGCGATTTGTCAATGACAAGCTGTCAATACAAAACGCAGAAATTAATTCTTCATTAATTCATCGCTTTACATATACTACTTCCTTATCGTAGTAATTAATTTCTGCCCATAACTCTGTAATGCAGTATGTATTTAGTTTGTACACTATCAATTATAAATACATAATTTATGATTCGTTTAGTAATGAGAGTAATGATTTATTCCACATCTGATCGATTAGTTCTTGCACTCAGCGTTACAGATTTTTATGAAGATGATGTGTGTCGAAGAAAATAGATTTGTATTTTAGCTTACAATTTAGCTTTAGATTTCAAATGGAAAACATATTGTTATTGGAATAAAGAACTTAAAGACTGTTGATACTTTATTTTTAGGTTGTTATAGTGAAAAGTGATTTACATAAGAGATTTAGAGGAAAACATATCTTTCGCGAACGAAGCCTCGCTAAGGAAAAAGTTGTTTCTAATCACCTCCCGAATCACCCCATTCAAGGAACTCCAACATTTTTGGGACACCCTGTATAAATAACAGAAAATACTAGGTGGTGCTTCAGAATAAAATTTGATTATTATGTTGGTATTATATTTTCAAACTACTTCTCAACCACTTGTACTTTGTATATTGTTTATTAATCAAAACACAAAAAGTAAATATAACAAAAATATTAACTCGTTAAAATTTTGTTGATTCTTTTCAGTACGATTTAATAGTACATTCTTTGTTCAATAATGTATTATAAAATTATTATTGCTAGGCTCTAGAATCTCTAGATGAAACTGTCTTACTGTAATCAAAAGACCAAATAAAATTTTCTATTTCTTTTTTTAATTCTAGCAGAACTAAAAAGATATAGCCGATGGTTTTAATTCCAAATGCTGATTATAAAATTATGAAAAAAATTGTGCAAAGCATGATTTTCAATACCATTTAAAAATAAATCAATTTTAATTATTTTAATTATTCAGTAATGTTAAACAATAATTATTATTTGACGCAATCAAACTAAGTGATCATCGTGTCTACATGTACATATGTTTTACTTTACAGCGTAGTTAATCATTTTTATTCTCACTTCTAAAAATGAATTTAATTCTACTTTACGACGCTTCGTTTTTAAAACTTTTATTATCGTTCGTAATCGTTTTCTGCAACATTTTACAATCTGACGATCTTCCTACATATTTTACGATGCATTACGTAGTCCATGCATGAATAATTACTAAACAGTAGTTAATAACAGAAATAATTATAATAATTAGAAATAGTTATCTTAACTCGATGTTTTTTATTATTTGATTACAATTATACAATATTTGAGTGTATTCAAGTGTAAACCATTTTCGTAATTGTATTCTTTTATAAGAAATCGCTATTTATTCAGAATAATTCATTCACTTTGCTATCTTGGAAGTTAAACGTTGAAATCGGAATACTTAAGTGAGGTCGTGATCCGTCCACGCAATCAATGACTACCGAGTTTTACACTTTTCATTCGTGAATCGATACGATACATGTTACAATCTCATTTTGAGGATACTTTAATATTCTGACCACCAGGGCCGGCATGACCTTTTGCGGGGCCCGGTTCAAAAATTTTCCAGGGCCTGAATTCACATTTAAATCCTACACTTAAATTTTACAACAAGTAATTATTTATTTACAAATGCTATACAGAGTGTCCCAAAAATGTTGTAACACCTTGAAAGGGGTGATTCGGGAGGTGTTTTGAAACAACTTTTTCCTTAGCAGAAATGTTGTCGGAGGCTTCGTTATGGAGATATTGAGGGAAAACGTCGACCAATCAGAGGGCGCTCAATTGGCATACTCGCGTTTTGATTGGTCGGGGTGCGCGGACGCCTAGCGTTCTGATTGGTCGGGTTTTTTTGTAATGTACGAAGTCTACCATAAATGCACTAGTTCCGTCTTAAGTTTGTGCATTTATGGAAACTTCACCGTATTTCTCATGTCACCATAACTCTCCTTCCTTTTCGAATTACAGTAAAGTTTCCATAAATGCACAAGTTCAGTTCTGAGTTTGTGCATTTATAGAGACTTCACAGTATCTCTCACGTCACTTTAACTCTCTCCTTCCTTTTCGAATTACAGTAAAGTCTCCATAAATGCACAAGTTCAGTCCCGAGTTTGTGCATTTATGGAGACATCAGTATTTCTTATGCCACTTTAACTCTCTCCTTCCTCTTCGGATTACAGCAGTCTCCATAAATGCACTGAAACCATCCCCACCATTGTGGAGGTATACCCCTTTGTTACAACATTTTTGAAACACCCTATATATATATTTTATGCATGTTTTCTATATTATTGTACGTCATAAATGCACAAAATTCGCATAGTCTAGTAATATCTTTTATTTTCTGGAATAAATAATAAATATTCTTTTATTATTTTGAAACATGTTGAAACATATGTTGATTAATTTATCGGTTCGACACTGTATGCCTAAGTAAAACCACCACAGAGTTTCATTAATCTTAACGACCCAAAAGGAAGTCAGTAATGAAAACATCTCTGCATACATCATACTTGACGAATTTTTGTTTTTTTTAATGAACGATACACGCTCGAGCATGTAAACAATTATATCCTAACGATTTTGTTCCACGTTGCAAACACACGTAAGTCTCCATTATGAAGAACTAATGGCGCTCAGAAAATTTAAATGATTATCGGTATTATATTGGTTCGATACGGAAGTACCACGCGCCGTTGCGCGCTTTCTATCGCGTACGACGTAACTCGGCCAGGAGTAACGCACTCTGGCATAATCGTACGGGAGTAATACACTCCGACATAATCGTTCCACCATTGCATAATGAACGTTTATGCTTGTTGGAATTTATTGTCTTATTGTCTACCTTTTTCGCGGATAAATGTCTCGTTTAATGGAGGAGACTCGAAACGCTAAAAAAAAAGGCTTTATTTAAGAATTTATTATGAACAAACGGTTGAATGAAATTATATGAAATTTTGTATACGTTTCTATCTGTAACTGAAAATATAGAATTAAATTTTTGTATGAAGATTCATTGGTGTCGAATAGAGGACATACGAGAAATATATCGCAAAATTAATTTATTTTTACTTTTTATAGTTGTTGGAATATTCACATATTCAGATTACGAAATTATAGATACGAAATATGTAAATAGAGAATCTCATGCATAAGCAAGCGCATTAGAAACCGGTCTCCGGTTCATTTTTTCCAAATTCTGGATTATATAAGGTGTCCCTATACATATATGATGAGTGCAATAATCGACGAAGTAATTCTACATACAAAAATTAATACAAAAGCATGGAACATAGTTCAAAGGAACTACGGGATCAAAACTTGACCGTTTCGACATAATTTGATCTGGAATTTTTATTGGCTATAAGATGAATTTTATATTCATAGAAGTTGGAGATTTCATATTGAAATGCTAGTTGTTGACATAAACACACGCTTGGCGAAAATGTAAACGCGGCGCTACAGCGTTAAAGGTCATGTAAACACGGTTCGAATGAACGCTCGCCCCCCCCCCCCCACTATCGCGATTTCGATTGCTTTGCTTCGATTGATATCACATTCGTTTAGTGAGATTAGTCTAGCTTTTGGTTACAGCGGCTATTTATATGTGTGACGTAGTATCATGGCGCGACAGTTCATACATAAATATTAATAGTATGAGAAGAGACAATAAAAAAATATCGGTATACAGGGTGTCCCAAAAATGTTGGAGGTCCTTGAAAGGGGCGGTTCGGGGGGTGATTTGAAATACCTTTTTCCTTTGTAAAAATGTCGGATGGGGCTTCGTTAAGGAGATATTAAGGGAAAACCTCGACCAATCAGAGCGCGAGTATACGATATACGCGCGCTCTGATTGATCGCTCCACCGGCATACTCGCGCTCTGATTGGTCCGGGGTTTTCTGTTAATATCTCCACAACGAAGCCTCGGACAACATTTTCGCTAAGGAAAATGTTGTTTCAAATCACCTCCCGAACCACCCCTTTCAAGGACTTCCAACATTTTTGGGACCGTATACCAGGGACCCTCCTAACGGCCCCTCTAACGTCGGCCCCGTCCAGAACATTAATGAAGTTTCAGTAAGTGATTATATTATAAGAATATTAGAGTAACCTCAAAATGAGACTGTTTTATTTGAGATTTATATTATAAGAAACATTATGAATTAAATAAACTTTATACTTTCGTTAAGCAGATTAAATGTTTGAATATATTAGGTTGTCCAGAAAGTTCGTGGCAATTTTTAAGAAAACTTCAAAGGCACATTTGAATTGTAATATACATTTATTTATATGTATATTTATTGAATTACATAGGTACTATTTTGTTCCACAACCTTTCCACTTTTTAAAGGATGTACATATACATATATATATGTTAATTGTTTTCAGCCATTTCAACATATTCAAACCTGCACCACCTATCAAAAATCGACATGGACTTTCCAGACAACCCAATAGTATGTACCTTAATTATTTTATTCTTCATCGTAGGCTCCACCAGTCCCCTTATAGTGTAATCACACATGATAGTTATAATCAAGCATAACTACAGGCCCTGAGAACGTAACCTTAACCACTATTGCGCGTTAATCTACTGTACCGACTATTTTGTTACATTAAATAACCAACCTTCACAGTAATAAAACACAGATTGCTTTGACATTTGGTTTCACAGCTGTATATGCTCTCTTGATACGTGTGACTAAGGACAGACTAAAAGTCGTCTGGTTTTCCTTCATAAATAAATAAAGAATAAATTTCTACACCTAATGCACACTTTCCAAAAATATAACACATGGATCGAATTTTTTATTTATCCCGTGCAGTCTTTCATCAACAGTTCATGGATCTTTGATATATTTCTTATAACTAATCGAACTTTACAATTATTCTGAATACAGCTTGTTTAGTATTAGTAAAATGTCAAACAAATCTGCTAGAGAATCGAGTAATTACTAAAGCTGATATGCTACAAACATTTCCAAGCATGTATTCAATTGTCGTCACGTTAAAAGTTATGCGCGTATCAGTTCTACTTTTATTGTTAATGCATATCTAAATACGTGTAATAGTTCTCTGAACAATTAGTAATTAATAAAATGTACTGTCTCCCTGTAAACTAATTCCAGAAAACTAACATAATATTCTAATATACAATGAAACGCTTTAATCTATATATTATATGTAAAAATGAATATTTGTATGTATACAGGGTGTCCCAAAAATATTGGAGGTCCTTAAAAGGGGTGCTTCAGGGGGTGATTTGAATATATGTATTGGATTAAAAGAAATATAATTACGTGAGAATAACACAGAAAAAGCAAATAACGAGAAGCAATACAGAAGTAATACGATTGAAGACAAGTAAATAGAGATATATGATATTTTCTGCTGTGATATACAGGGTGGGAGAAAAAGTATGGAAATCCCTAGATATCTAGCGAGTTCAGTGATAAAACAAAAAATAAAATAAAGGTTACATCTTAGGTAATTTTCAAGGAGGAATTTAATGGTGACCTTGGATTTGACCTTGAGCCTCATTTTCAAGGTCATTTCAAGGTCAACTCGTTTTCTTTAAACCCCTATTTTTGATCCGGGAATTGTAATGACCGATAATTCTACGCGAAAATACTTTTTCTCGACAACAAAAAGTAAATAAAATCTTAAAATAAGAAAATTTTCCGCTCTTTTCGATTTCGGGATGAAAAATAGGGGTCGCCGATAAAAGGAAACGAGTTGATCTTGAAATGACCTTGAAAATGATATTCAAGGTCAAATCCAAGGTCACCATTAAATTCTTCGTTTAAAGTTACCTCAAAGCGTAACCTTTGCTCTTTTTTCATTTTATCACTAAACTCGCGAGATGACTAGGGAATTTCCATAATTTTTCGCCACCCCGTATATGAAAATACAAAAACAAATGATTTGTGTTTAATATCGATGTTTATTATTACGTGTGAAACCACTTTCCATATACGATGCTGTAGGTAACATCGAGATGAATTCTCTTAAATGACCTTGAAAATGAGGCTCAAGGTCAAATCCAAGGTCACCACTAAATTCCTCCTTGAAAATTACCTAAGACGTAACCTTTGTTTTGTTTTTGTTTTATCACTAAACTCGCCTATCACTAAACCCCTAGTTATCTAGGCAATTTCCATACTTTTTCGCCACCCTGTATATGAAAATACAAAAACAAATGATTTGATTTAATATCGATGTATCATATTATTATATGTGAAACCATTTTCCATACACGATGCTGTAGCCAACATCGATATGAATTCAACGACCTGCAACAACATTCGAATAACCTTGGGTAGGAAAATTTATGTTAGTGGAACGTAACCACTTGGACGGATACCAACAGTTTCTGAAGTATCTGTTCGGATCGTTTGATCCTAGATCCTAATGCAAATTTCCATACCCGAGGTCGTTCGAAAGCAATATAAATGTTGCTGTAGGTCGTTGAATTCATCTAAAAATTAATCGCAGCTGATTTTCAGATTCTCTGAAAAAGTAAAAAAGTAAAAAAGTAAAAAAGGTAAAAAGGTAAACAAGTAAAATTCATATCTCGAAAAATCTGGAAAAGTTGATTCGTAATAGTGAATTAATTTATTGTAATTGATACATGAAAAAAGAAATAATTATCTCTTGCAAAGAAAAAAGTATAATTAAACAAAAATATTGAATAATAATATAAATACATATTGGATTGAATTATATATAAAATTAGAAGAAATTGTAACTGTTATTAAAAACAGTTTTAATATTTAAAGTGGCACGAAAAAAAAAAAAGAGTCGAAGCATAAAATAAACAACAACTGGTTCGAGACTACAGAATAAATAAAATATACAGAATAAAAACTTTCGTTTATAGAGAATTAAAAATCTATATAATAATATATAATATATCTATGATAATTATATAATAATTATATCTGTAATAATGAAAAATCTAAGATACCGAAAATCCTTGCTTTTCGAAATCGCAAAAAAATAATTTGGAAACCGTGATTTAATTTAATTAATTTAATTTCTTGGGGACTTTTTAATTGTTACAAACGGTAAAAAAATTACTTGAATTGCGTTACGAGGAACGCAAGCAAGATTTCAAAATGTCACGGGTGATTGAATCGAAGGAAAAGCAGAGCTTATGGGGGACCCATGGTAGGGGAAAACTACCGTTCTCCTACAGCTGGAGCGTAGTATTCGAAGAATCATAATTTACAATCAAATAACGGAAATGACACAGTTGATACGCTTTGTTGGATACGCCGCATTAAATTTAACATTTTCATCGAATGAGTAAGTACAAGGCACGTCGAATTTATGGGATCCATCAATTTACAGAATTTCAAAAATGAAAAAGTTTGCATGTATAATAAAATAAAACTGAAGCAATCTAAAACAGACACTAGCTCTACTTTGCTATTATTTATTCTATTTATTTAAAGAATTTAAATAAGGAAAGGTTTGTATGTGAAATAAATATGTGCAAATATTTGTATGTGATAATAAAAATTAGTAATTTAATTTCTTAATTAATATAGCACATATATTTTGAAACAAAAATGGGAAACCGTTATTATTATAATTGATTTTCTTCCAAAATTAATTTTTGTCATTGAGTCCTCCCACTTTTTTCGTGGTACTTGGCGTCATTTTTTTACTTTTTTGAAGTTTTATATGGGATCTTAATATATCAGTCTAGCTGGATTTCTTGATCTATACGTATATGTATATCTTTGTACGTATGCCTCTTCCTATTCTTTTCTCTAATTCTTTTCCTCTCTCTTCCCATACGAATCTCCAAATTTCTCTTTCTCCTACATCTTCCATCCTATTTTGCCTTCCCCGTGTTCAATTGTCTTCTCCACTTTTATGGGTTTTCGGTTCAATATTCCCCTGATTTCTTTCCTTTAGACACTTTTTCGGCCATCTTTCATCCCCCATTTTCATTAACCTCTATTATATATATATATATATTTCTTGCTGTGCTTTTTTCCAGATTGAATATACAGTTTTTCCTTTACTATACTTATTTCTTGTGATTGTACTCCATGAAAACGGCGAAAAAAAGCTATTTTAATTTTTGTACCCTCCAGCGGGATTCGAACTCGCGACCCTCCGACTATAACGCAACCTACTTCTCCGCTTACCCACGAACGTCTTCTATCAATCGAATATAATAGAGTCTACTTTATTGAATACAAAGTGAAACATTTATTTCACTATCCATTTCCAGAATATTTATTCCAAAATAGTATTCAATCTTACTTTTATTCAAAACAATCGATACAAATTGAATTGTAATAACATCAATCAATTATAATAAAAAATTCAAAGTCAATAAAAATATTGAAATAATGTTGAACTGCGCGTGGGCTAGTTTTTATTGTTGCATTAATAAATATTCAATATAAATAAAATGAAGTGAATGAAGTGAATGAAGTAAAATAATAATAATATCAATCGATTATAATAAGAAATTTGAAATGAATACAAATATTAAAATAATGTTGAACTTCGCGTTGAATAATTTTGATTGTTGCAAAATTATCACTAAAAGTGTTGACGAGCTTATTTCTTTCGAATTTATTAGTGTACAATAATTATGTACAATAATTATTTAATAGGATTTCGTACGTTGCTTATAGTAACTTAATCTCTATGATGAAGCAAAGGTTGAAAGGAAGAGGATTACTAATGGCTTTTTAATTCAAAATGGTAATACGCCTGAATGACGATCTCTTGATTATCGGTTCGACCTTCACCTGAGCTGAGGTCCTCTCCAACCATTTTTAGTCATTCTTACATAACTATGTCTCGACATACTTCGTTATTCTCCCAATAGAATTTTTTAATCGCATCGCTTCACCTTCGAATGAACTTCTCGTAACGAGCATATGGGTTTCGGTTCAATAATCAATATATTATTTAAATACATTACAAAACGTTTTTATAACGACGATGTAAAGTAAGAATTCGAAAAAAGAAATTCACGTTTAAAAAAAATAAATGAAATGATGTAGTTGAAAAACGTAACATGTACACAGTAACATAAATAAAAAAGAAATATTTTACATTTCATTTAATTTAATGCCATTTTAAATTAAAACAGGCGTAAAAAAATTTACGAATACGATAAAAGATAATATAGAAATAATATGTAGTAAAGAATTCTTCGTTTTTTAAATTCCTCTTGCCAAAATTTGACTTCAATTGATCTGATCGAGTTAATCTAATTTTATCTAATTTTTATCTAAGTTAATCTAATTTTATTAAGGAAGAAAAATTGAAAGAACAAAATCACATTAATTATTAGAGAACAATATACAAGAAAGATTATATTTATGTACATCCTCTCTAATAACCGATATAATATATTTCCAACTATTTTTTCCTTTCATAAAAAGCAAATTTCGTAACTTGTGATAATTAATTTTATTCAAGGGTAAGACATGACAATTAATTTTAATTAAATCTCGAACTTAAAAAAAAATTATTATCAATCGTAGTTATTATTATTCCACTATTAGTCATAATTAGACTGCGGATTTTTACGCGTGTACAGGAAATTAGAATGTACAAGAAACTACAAAATGCACACAGTATGCAATAATACATATATATATAGAAAAAAAAAATTGAAAATATTAGTTCATATTAAATAAGTTTATATTAAAATATATGTAAAATAAATTCTTTTTCAGGGAAGGTCGTAAACGAATTTCATTTTCGACAAAGATCCGTTCATAAAAGAATACAAGAATTTTTTACTTTCGATAACGAGAAAATCTCTCGACCCTGGACTATCGACAAATTCAAAATCCGCTAAATTGACATTTCTACAAATTAAAATACCGCCAAATAAAAAATTCACCTCTCACTCAACTTGAATTACCGCGTTAGAATAAATAAATGCTGTACTATTTAGTAGACTCCCAATACTTACACGTTCCTTGTCACAAATTCCATTCGTCCCGTTCCCCAGGTTGTTGCCCGGTATATTCGAGATCGTCGCCGACATCTTCAAACTATCGTCCCTCGGACGATCGTGTAACACCAATCCTTGAATCCAACCTGCGCGTGGAATCGCGTAATATCCTTTAATACCCACACACTGAACACTCTTTTTAAACCTCCACTAATTACAACCGCGAGAAAGGCTCGAAAGTTTCACCTCTTACCGTGAAAACACAAATTCACTCGATCCGCAGAACATTCGACCTGGTCGATAATAGAGTAAATAGAATAAATAGAATAGACCGTCGATAAGCAGTTGGGAGGTCGATAAACCGTCGATAAACTGTCGATAAACTGTGGGGACGTCGATAAACCGTCGATAAATTGTCGATAAACTGTCGATAAATCGTCGGGACGCCGATAAACCGACGAAAAATTGACGATAAATTGTTGGGACGTCGATAAACCGTCGATAACTATCGATAAACCGTCGATAAATTGTCGATAAACTGTTGGGACGTCGATAAACTGTCGATAAATCGTCGGGACGTCGATAAACCGTCGATAAACTGTCGATAAATTGTTGCGACGTCGATTA